ACCAATATCTTATTGTTTCTAAAGTCGGCTTTCTTTAATAGGAGTTTGAAATCCATAGATGGAAGTTTATATCTATACTAATATTATAATGAGGAAACATTTGTGTTTTTGTATGTGTTGTTAACTACTGGACCGATTTTCTTTCACCATTAGAAAGCTGCATCTTCACTGACTGACATAAGCTATATTAAATTTTACAAAAAATAGGAATGCCTAATAAAAATGCAATAATATAACCCAAGGTGTGAAAAAATTATCCATAAAAAATCTGTCATCGCGTCCGCTGTGGAAACTATTAATGAAAGAACAATGTAATGTTGTACAGTATTAAAGAACGTATCAATATCTACAAAAATAATGTTTTACCCATGAGCAGTTGTATGTTGGCCTGTCCCGAGTCGTAACTTCAAAACATAAAATTATTTTGCTGCTACTAAACAAAACTACGTCTAATGTTGTATATAGGGAAGTTCTAAGACACTGAAGTTCTACAAATAAATCTCTTCTCTAATCTTAATATATATAAATTACGTGTCACGTTGTTTGTCCGCTATGGACTCCTAAACTACCGAACCGATATCAATTAAAATTTGCACACCGTGTGTAGTTTGATCCAACTTAAAAGATAGGATAGCTTACATCTCAATTTATACCCGCAATATTATTTTATTGCAAAATATTTGTTTATTATTTGATAGTCACAATTCTAACAGATGGCGCTGTGTTGAAAGTACCAACGTTTCACATAATCTACAATTTAATGTCATAACCACCATAAAGCATGGTGGTCCCCATGACTGGTGTTCTCCTACCGTTTCCCTTGAATAGTTTACTACTATGTAATATAACAAAAACCTTAGCCACAGCAACGCTTGGCCGTACTGCTAGTTTTATATAAGAAGGTTTTTCCATTTTGAATTTTTGTTTTTATTTTTATCAATTTATATTAATCAAGCTACAAAATTTCTGGACTGATTGAAAAATTCTTTCATTACCTGCTTGAAATTAAGAATTTTTCAATATCTGTAGAGTATTTTTACGTACATTCTACATAAATGATGTTACGAATTTAAAAATGTATTAGATATATATTCGTTGTAAAGGTAAATCTTTATATTGATTAGATTATTAATGTAAGTGTGTTTACAATAATCTGAAAGGAAGTAATTAAATACTAAGAAAACTAAGTAAAATAAAACTTTTATGATAACAACAATATATCCATAGTCCGACTTTTGAGCAGTGTTGGCCGCGTGCGACTCTCATCCCTGAGGTCGTAGGTTCGATCCCCTGCGCTGTGCACCAATGGACTTTCTTGTGCGCATTTAACATTCGCTCGAACGGTGAAGCAAAACATCGTGAGGAAACCGGCTTGCCTTAGACCCAAAAAATCAACGGCGTGCGTCAGGCACAGAAGGCTAATCACGTACTTGCCTATTAGATTGCCAAATGATCATGAAACAGATACAGAAATCTGAGGCCCAGACCTAAAAAAGGTTGTAGCGCCATTGATTTTATAGTCCGACTTAGTAGACTTACCACGACCACGAGATCAGTATCAAAGTCAAAGTCAAAATAACTTTATTCATATAGGTAAACAACCTATGAACTCTATTCGAGCGAAACCGCGGAGCATTGCTAGCATTTTATAAAATATAATAATTCGAAAACCTTTACGAAGTACGTCCCACATCTCTTTGCAATTTAAACCACAGAACGCTATTAATTTCAGTGAAAAGTTTTTTCATTAAAATTTAACAGTCATGTTATCAGAATTTATTTGGCCGTTAAGGGCCACTTTATTAGTTATAAATGTTAATTAAGGCATTGGTTTTAATTATAACGATGCGTAACTGTCACAAAGATCGACGTGTGCTGTACACTTTCCTATAAAGAAAAACTGGTTCTGGTTGGTAACACAGAAAGCAAAAGATCACGTGGCCGTTCACCAACCAGATCGACCCATCAAGTGAAAGACTCATCGTCCTCAAAACTGTACACTGTCATAAGAGAGGCGCTGGACAGAAACCGGTGGAAATTTGATTTGGATTGAAGACAGAGAGATTATCTGTTATCCCTGGCAAATACTGATACCGCCGCTGTGTCACACGCTCGCGAGTGTTAGCGGCCTATTAGCAATAGCCTCGTAAAAAAGACGCAGAAAATAACAATAATGAAATTAATAAGCCAAAAACTAATCATAGCGACTTTAATAAAGCCAACAATGAACTTTACTTTGCACGTCAAATTTTGCGAAAATTAATAAAAGTTTGCACAATAACGCCTTGATTTCAATTTTCGCACCGCAAACCTAATACAAAGAAAACACAATTTCTGAGTCATAATGGAAACTTGGGTAGGTATCAGACCAACCTTGGGGTCAATGGAATTAGATATTTTACTTGAGAAATTGCCGAATTCATTTTATTCAATTATATATAAAATAGTATGAATATGAATTTAATATTGTATTATCTGATTAGAAGACTTGAGAGTTGAGACATGCAAGATAATGTTCATAATATGTAACATTGTATATTGTAATATGTGTAAAAAATATTTTATTCAATACTTTTTAGGGCGAAATTTTGATGAAATAGAAAATGAAAGGTGTATTTTCTAATCATAGAAGATTTCGTATTATGGTATAATATTACTTAAAGGCTTTTAATAATTGCGTACTGAAGTACGTCTTTATTTATTCTTTTGTAATCGTCTTCGCTTATTTACATCTCATATTATTTATTAACGAATTTTTAAGAGTATCTTATGTCAGAAAACTGACATTCTGGGCGTCATTATTTTCACAGGTAGCTTTCTTTTTTAATGAGGCAGTCTAATTGTAGAGGCTTTGTGGATGAAATAACGCGTCGCGAACAATGGCCGAGTGTATGCGCTAATTGCTCGAACTCACACGCATGCGTAAATTTAAAAGACATTATGAAATTGACAAATGACAGATGAGAAGTTTTCTACTTTTAGTATCTTGACAATGCTTAGGTCAAGACAGAAAGGCAAAGACCGGGATGATTGTTGACAAAAGCACAAACGAGGACCTGAACAATTACGCACGACCTGAAGGTTAACAATAACAGGACCTGCAAATAAATTAAAATATGTCTGCGTCAAAAATTAGTTTGTTGACATCAGCCATTTGATTTCGACATTAGAGTCTACTCTTTAAAGGCTTCTGCTTAGTTTTAACCGAGGGTCGCACCAACCAGTCTCTGTATCCATAGGAACCCGAACTTTCGATAAACAAGTTTCGTGACACTTCGTGTACTCGTTCCGTGATCCGAATCGAGTCAAATGAAAGTCTTAGGAATGAAACAGTATGAGGCATTTTACTGTAGGGTGCTGCTGCAGAGGTTCAATCCATATTTGTGCTGCAGAAGCGGGCTGTTCGGGGTATTTGTTGTGTTTCTCCGAGGGAGTCGGTACGGAATAAGTTTAAGGAATTAAATATTATGACACTATCTGGTCAATATATTCTTGAAGCCTTGTTGTATGTCCAAAAAAAATATAAACGATTTTAAAACAAATGGTGACTTTCACCAGTATAATACGCGAAATAGAACTAATTTGAGTGTACGACCAACCAGGCTCCAAAAGATAAACCACTCCTTATATGGAAATTGTATTCGTTTTTACAACAAGCTCCCAAGCGAAATTAGAGAATTATCACTAAATAAATTCAAAGCCCTCGTTAAACGAAAATTAATCAACAAAGCTTTTTATAAATTTGAGGACTACTTAAATGATCCTAATCCTTGGGATTGAATTGCTCCAGTTCAAACAATTTGTATGACAATACTTGGCGATTAAAAAGAGTGGCGGAAAGTTTCTTGCCAGTTCTTCTTACCCGCTCTACGCCCTTGACTTGCGAACTGGTAGTAAATGTAAATTTACGATTAATTTAACTTGACGATTCAAAAGTGTACTTGGTTACCTACTTGAATAAAGATATTTTGAGTTTGAGTTTGAGTTTGAAAGTCAAATATTACTTTAATTTTAATTGTCTTTAGGTTTCAAAGGTTTAAAGATATGATATATGATAACTTATTTTTAATAATAATAATAACTATCATATTGTTATCGACCAGTTAATAGTCGTAATTTATAGATCTAGCAACATTGAAAAATCAAATAAACCATTCGTTTTAATGGTTGTGAACTTTGACTTGTGGCAGATGACATTTACGCCATTTCTACGACATCACAACATTACTATAGACTATTAAATAGTCGTTAATTAGTAGATCTAGTAATATTAGCAAATTAAATAAACCACAGAACAGTTTTGAATTAATTTGACTTTGATGTTATTAAATTAAAACGACAATAGCAACTGAAAGTGCTCAGACATATTATATAATATGATTACTATACTTAAACCCGTTTCTTATACGAGTATCAATAAGTTTTGAAAAGGTTTCATGAAAGAGCACTTAATAAGACTGATAACAACAAAGTTAATTTCGTAACTACACAATAATTATATTTAAGATTTTAAAGATGAATAAAAAATCTTATATTACTCGAGTCCTATGTAATGCCTTTCAATACTACGGCGTATGATATGAGTTTTTTATCGGCCATCTTTAATGCTTAACGTGTAATATGAAGTTCTTTTGTTCCTCACAAATAGGTCACCTTAATAATAAGCCCGTAAATATCACATATATAGCGTTATAAAGGTTTAAGTATGAGGTAGTATGAATGATATATGAATATGCGGACACAATGTAAAGTCAAATTTAAGGTTTTAATCATATTACTAGACCATTAGACAATTAATGGTCAATATTGTGTGATCGTTTAAATAATAACATTATTTTATTTTGACACAAGTTTTGATATCTGATTGACATCAACTAAGCTAGATAAAGAAGATAAGATACTTAAAAAACTCTAGTACAACACTTTTCCAATCTCATATTTTATTTTCTTTCCAGCTGCGGGAAATGTTTCTTCAACCGAGACGCTAAAGGTGAAACGAAATGGCAGTAAACAGCCCCAGCGGTTATCCTCCCATCTCCCCAAAACCCCTAACACCCAAGAGCCCACGGCATTTCATCTTTCCGCAGAAAAGCCCATCAATAACTTCGAGCACATCATCTTCAGGGTACTACACCCCTCAATCTGGCTGCAGTTACGATAAGCATGCTCCACCAAAAAGCCCTCTTGCCCACGGGCACAGAAGTCCCATGAGCCCGAGGCATTTCAACTTCAACCCCCCAAAGTCTCCCTCAGAACACTCCAGCCCCTGCCATATCGACAGAGGCCTCCACTACACGACATCATTGAAGCACATTCGACGAGAGAAGTCCAGGTCACCGAAACCTCCTCCCGTGCACATTCACACAAACCCTGGTTATGTATCACCGAACCGAACCAGGAAATTATTCAGCTCAACTTCCACAGTGAGTTCTCCACGCATGGTGACATCGCCCAGCATTATATCCAGCCATACTGATGATTCCACCGATGCTATGGCTGGTACCCCATCGGCGTTAATGCATGACGCTGATGACGAAGCAACGACAACATCATCAAGAGCTTGCCGCAAGTCAACGTCTGATTTAACGGATTTTACCGATGACACTCCACAGACGAGGTCAACAAGCATCAGTAGACCATGCTCTCCTATGCGAAGGGGTTCTGTAAAAGGGGATTAGCATATCTAGCGAGTAGAAGAGGATCCAGGGATTCCACAGTATCCAATTGCGATTCAGTTGAAGATATAGGACCTTTGAATTTTCAAAATACGGTCCGTGGACGGCAGAGACGTACTTCCAATTTCTTGGAATTGCCTGGTGAGTTATATCTAAATATAGTAATTATATGATCGTAGAAGACAAAGTAATATGATGTCAAGGCAGAATATACAATACCATCCGTATCACCTTGACGTCCGTCGTTCCACAACTGAGTGATTTCTAAGGCAGTGTTTGCCGCGCACCACCCAACCAGCTGCCCATTTCCAATCCAATTCGACTCGAAGGACCCTCAAGAAAGAGCGTACCAATTCTTGAAAGGCGGGCAACGCACTTGCGAGCCTTCTGGCAATGTGATTGTCTATGGGCGGCGGTATCACTTAACATCAGATGAGAATCCTGCCCGTCTGCCTCTTAATACATAAAAAAATTATATATAAGTATTATAAATTTGGTATTACAATGAAATCGACATATAATAAATAGTATGATGCATTGTAATCATTAAATTAATTGTATTGCATTAACTATCATATTATTGTATATTATTATTAATAAAGCTTATATTGAATTAAACAATAATTAAGAGATATTATAGAAAAAAAAGTATAACGTAATAAATATGCCTCAACGTCAAAATATTAATGAGCAATCTGTTTCATTATGTATAATTTAATTATTTTAAGTGGTGTGTTAAAATAATATTCCGTAATATTAATCTCGTAAGCCGCCATTTTGTTGTTTTATAACGCCGCCTTGAAAGGTGTGGAATAATTAATTTTCGTGAGGTTTTAGTGGAGCCAAATTAATAAGACAAATTTCGCATACCATAAGTTTCGCCGTTTTCTTAATATTATACTTTATATTACAACATATAAAAGTCGTGTTGGCTTCAGCGTGTGTCTCTTATCCCTGAGGTTCAATGGACTTTCTATGTGCGCATTTAACACTCGGTGACGGAACCCATCGTGAGGAAACCAGCATGCTTTCGATCCAAAAACCTGGATATACCTGTATACACCTATTAAAAAAACAAATGAACACGAAAACGATAAAGATATCTGAGAGGCTGTATAAATAAAAAATAAAAAGCCTTTTTATTTCTTGCAAAAGAACAAAGTGAACTTAATACTATTTTTACAAATATATTTTTAAGAAAGTAAATTAAACAATTATTTTTTTTTCCTAATTTTTGTATATATTTCCCAATTATTATTTTGCAAGAACCCTTCCGCAGGTGTAGGCCTCCTCCAGGGATCTCCATGTATCTCGATTTTGGGTGAGCTGCATCCAGCTCGAGCCAGCCGTTTGAGCAATGTCGTCCGCCCATCTCGTGAGCGGTCTTCCTCTGTTTCGTTTCCCAATAGGGCCACCCCACCTGGTCACCCTTATGGTCCATCGATCGTCAGAGAGTCTTGCTACATGACCTGCCCATCTCCATTTAAGCTTTAGAGCATAGTTTAGGGCATCAGTAGCTTTAGTAACGCTTCTTATTGAGGCTGTATATTCTGTTTGAAAATAACAGTAGTAAATCTAAAAAATACAGAAATAAAAAACATGTATTCTATTAAAATGTTATGTTTGTGTACGCTTCAAAAACTCAAACACCCATCGAGCTGAAATTTTAGCATGATTATAATCCACATCAAGGATTGTTTTTATCTCTTTTTTCATTTTTACCACAAGTATTGCAAAATCAAACTTAAATGAAATGTTTTCTTTGTTTTGTTTCTCATTTCACAACCATTCATAATGTGCCACAGCGAAGCGTGACAGGGAACAGCAAGTAAGCAATAAAAATCATCAAATCATAGATTCGTGGAAAAAGTTCTGTCACTTACTATTTTATTTTTGTTTTCGTCAGTATATTTCATTCTACATGCGAAGAAGTTGATTGCGCACAGAATACAAATCTATAACAATCAACAATACCTAATGGTGAAACGACAGCCTTCGATGAGATCTTTATGCTTGATCGATAGGTTAACACTGATTCCATACACATAGTAAAAAATATGTACACATTGGTGCTCATTTACAAAGTTTTTCAAAGTCATAAAAGTCCTTGGTACGAGGCATCTTTAAGCATCTAAAATATTTAACGATGTGGGTTGACCTTTTGGGATCAAATGTCGACTTTTACGTCTGCAACTTATGGAAACTTTCTTTGTATTTCTGCAATAGTTACACTCGGCTAAAAAGTATTAAACATATGACAATTATCGTGACTTGCAAAATAAATCCTACCAAAACAAACAATTTTGAATTTTTGTAATGTAGAATTATTTAACTAACCCTTGGGTCCCGGTTTTCAAATCACAAACTGACGGACATAACACTATCTGATAAGAACCTGCGACGCCCAATTTATCTATATTAAATGCATTTTCTTAACTTTTCATTAGAATACAGTATCACAATGTTTATTGCGTTTGATAATAAATTTATGTTATCTGGGGGCACGGCAGTGCGCCTGCCAAGCCGAGCAAAAAAGCAGCACTGGCGTACTATCCTTTTCTCGAAACAGCTCGGGTCGTTTTCGACACCCTATAACTTCAATATAAAAAAAGGCAAAATCATTTATTCATTTAGGTAACACAATGTACACTTATTAACGTCAATAAAGGCATACATATTAATACTAAATGCTTCTAATTTTACATTTACTGCCAGTTCTCAAATCAAGGGCGTAGAACGAAAGAGAAGAACTGGCAATAAACTCTCCGCCACTCTTTTTAATCGCCAAGTTTTTTGTTTTGCATCCAATTGCTTAATTTTGTTCACTGACCGATCATAAAAACTCTAAGACACTTCTAGCAGGCATAGATACCTCAAATTTAGAATACAATTACTGTTTAGTGTATAAATCAAGGAAAAGCTATTCAAAAAGTCAATGTATTTATTTAAAACACAATATTTCTAATATGGTGACTAAAAGATGTTGTTAGGTTAGCTAATTACGTACTAACTTTAGACAGTAAGTGCCTTAAGTGGGGACTGAATTAATTAACCGATTTGGTATTACATAGATCTCACAACTTGTTTTTTTACAAGTTATGATTGATGACATTATTTTTTCACCCGTTACAGTTGTTGAACACTCGAGACCCCGTGTGTGCTCGCTGCCTGAGAAGCCGTACAACCCTCGGGTCTCTGATGACCTCTACAGACTTCGAACGTTCTCTATTACCAATAAGGGTGGGGTGGTAAATTGCGGTGACTCTATATGCAATCGACGTAGCCGTTCCAACACCTCAGTCAATTCCACTAACAGCAGGTAAGAAGATGTGGGATACATCTGGCTCCTGTACCAAAATACTATACATAATATTATGATAAAGAAAATAAACAATGAAATTAGTTGTGGTGTGAACGAGTTTCGTCTTTTTTTATGCGAATATTGAATTGTTGTTTTTTTTTTTTGCCATTTGGCAAAAGGCTCGCATGATGTTAAGTGTCCATGGATACTATCAATGCCAGAGCGCTCGCGAGTGGGTTGCTGGCCTTTTAAAAATTAGTATGCTCTTTTCTTTAAGGTCCCTAACTCGAACATAGTCACTCGGGCCCGGTGGGAGACGCCAAGCCTTTTAATCAAATGAAGTCCCTTTTTAGGAGAGAGAAGATGTCACTCTAATGTATAACTCGCTTTTCGCTTTTATTTCAACCTAAATGGTTGGTTTCAACCAAACGGACTTTTCGTATAATGTATTCTCAATAATTTCCAATTTGTGTAGTGTTAGTCTGCCATGCAACGGGCAACTGGCCTTTTGAGTCTGGTCTAGAAATGGAAACCCTTGAAGGGAAGTAAACCTAAAATTTATTTGATATTTTAGTATATACTAATATTATGAAGAAGAAAGATTTCTTAAGTAAGTTATATATATATATATATAACTGACGAGTTATATATAATAAAACTAGTCCGTGTTAAAGTTTAATATAAATGTGTAGTACCTACGTTCAAACCAAAAATGTATGAATGTATTGCTATACAAAAATCATTTATAGACAGTTGTACGTAAAATTACTGTCTACCCACATAATCATAGACTAAAGAAATTTAACCATAGACCGGAAGATATCCATAACCCGTGCTAATCAGATAAAAGTGACTGATTACAGAGTCGCGTGCTGATGCCGACCTACATCGCTTTCCATTTCTTGACAAATGTGTCAGATATAACGTATTCAAGAATTTGGGTAACTGAAGGGTTTCTTAAATGTACTGAAAGTGCGTAACATATAATCCTTAAAGCTTAAACAGAAGCTTTGTTCAATTAAGGCAATCAAGGTTTATAATAATTTACCAAAAAGATTAAAAGACTTTTGGATTTTATTCTATAAATGATTATTTGCGTGAAACTTTATAATTAATATTAATTTGATAACGTATAATTTTAATAATGTGATTTTTGATATATAAGAATTGATTATAATGACATATATAAACTCTTATATAACTTCTATGTAAAATTCCTTTTAAGACAAATTTGCACGCAATTATGTGTGGCAGAATATACGAACGTTAGATTGTACCACCACAACATTTTTGTACCATATTAATGCAAATAAATAATTATTATTTAAAAAAAATTGCAAGATAGATATGCTTTCTGTCCCGGATGCGCTAAGTCAATATTTGGGTTTAAAATCAAGATTCATAGACGTCCCTTGGCGCTAATTATAATACTTATATATAAAAATAACACCCGTATCATCTCGACGTGCGTCGTTTTACAACTGAGCGTTTTTAAGGCAGTTTTTGCCACGCACCACTGCTGTGGAAACACAGTTGCCCGCTGAAGTATTTCCGAACTTAGGGTCCTTCATAGAAAGAGAACACAAATTTATAAAAGACCAGTAACGTGCCTGCGAGCTTTCTAGCAATGTGTCCATGGTATCACTAAACATCAGGTGAGCCATCTACCGTTTGCCCCCATCTCAAGAAACCAATGAACACGACGAAGAAAAATGTCTTTAGAAAGGTTACGAGATAATACAAGATTTGTTGTCTTCCTTGTAAAGTTTCAATTGAACAGACGGACAGTGACGGGCCTTTTTTTAATTTAATAAAAATTGTATCTTCAATTTTCTTTTCTCACTTATATATTTTAAATATCCGTTAAAGACTATTATATATGTACCACGGAACACTATTGAGTCACACAGCGATGTTCCCAGTAGAAGAATGTCAACGTATTATATATTAGTAACCAAAAAATGTTTTTAGGGCTTCAGATAGGTCTCCATTCGATGGTTCATGTTGTTCTGGATACAGGCCCGTGGACTCCAGCAGCCTCACCACACCCGATGAAGACGACTTGGATCCCGTAAGTTTTTTTTTAATTTTGTGACATATTTCAGTTTATTTATTTAAATTGGAAATTACGCAAATAATAAATAAAAGTATAAACTTTTTGAAAATGGAATCTTACAGTATTTTTAATCTTCTCTATAGTCATGCAGTAATATTTATCTAGATACCAAAATATCGAGTGGTGCTGTTAGGAGACGCAGGAGTTGGCAAAACGGCACTGGTCTCCCAGTTCATGACGTCGGAGTATATGAACACGTATGATGCTAGTCTGGGTAAGATATTTTTTAACTTTCTTTCATCTTCTGCTCTTTAAAACGGGAGTGTTTTTATTAAATTAATCTAATATTATACAGATTTGTTTTCTTGTAACAAATGATTTAGTTCACTGAATAATATAGAATATTTATTTTCAAGAGATTTTATGAAATATATTATAATATTGTTTCGGGTATTCTGATTTTCTCAAATAGACATAAGAAAATTGCCTTTCCGGTAATTGGAAGGGAAGGCTTTTATTGAAACATTAAACCATACCGCGTTAATGGCGAGCGATGAGGACTAAATGTCACCAGACGCCCGCGCCTGTCAGATGTCAGATGCAGTGTACTTTCATAATTAGGTTTTCATAATTTTTTTCTGTATACAAAAAATCGATGTGTTTAATTTTTCATCTGTACGACAAAAAGTGACAGCGTCAGATATGTGAATTTTCGAACATCAAAAATATTTGCAAATATCAATATCCTCTCAAATTAGTGTCAGATTTAGATGATTAGATAAACCTCCAAAGGAACAAAAATTGTCTTTTCTTAAAGTGTCTATGCCATGTATACAAATAAGATGTTGCATTTTTCGAATAGAAATAATACTATTCAAATGTGTAACGAATATCTTTATTTTAGTAGTTTTTTTTATTATTATATAATATATTAGTATTTTAGTAGTAAATTGCTAATATCCCATACGTAAATGAATATTTCTACTTTCTATTAGATGTACATGAATTTCAGGAGTTTGGTTAATATAAAAATAGCCCGTGTTGATTAAAAACTTGTTGCTTCCGTCGTGTGGCTGACGGGTCTTTTGTTAACTTTGAAACTCCGCTTTGACGCACGAGGCTTTTGGCAGTTGACAGAGTTCGTTTCGTTGACGCTGTAATCTCAGGAACTACTAATTTGAAATGAAAAAAAAAGCAAGTACGAGAAGTTAGTATTTTTTTGTTTTTTTTTTGTAAGAGGGGCTCACGATGTTAAGTGATACCGACATTGCCAGAGGGCTCACAAGTGCGTTGTCGGCCGCATCTAACTTAACATCAGGCGGGATTGTAAACAAACGTCTCTATAAAGATGAATATTAGAATGAGGGAATCTATATTAGGAAGCCAATTACCCCGAGGTACATTAAGGAAAGGAATATTATTTACCATCCTTTGTTGTCACAGTAGACAATTTGGAAGTTAAATAATTTATTGAGAAGCTTTTGTACCTTCATACCTCATTAAAATTTCATTCTTCGCTAATACCTTGCGACTTGCTCTCACCTGTATCCAGATAATATATTCTTGGAAATGTATCTTTCTTTTAAATTCCCTAGCAAAAATTACCGAATTATTCTATTATTAAGTAACGAATATTAAACATTATAGAACACTTAGACTGTTAATAAACATTATCTTAGTTTAAGCTATTTACAGTTCCAGAGAAACATTTATTCCCTTGATATCGAACTCAGGTCTTATTAAATCCATGATTCAATAGAAAACTTGAAACTATTTGCAACATAACATTAGGTATTGCCAGATTTTATAAAAAACAAAACGTTTCGCTTGAATTCACGGTTGAAACTGATCTTGACAAGCACTGTTTGTGCTTTGAAAATTGAACTTCACAAACGAATAGAGTTTTTGATATTTTCAGTAACCGCTTGTGTGGCATAGTTCTAAAAAATAACTTTTAGGTATTGCGCTACAGTTGATGCCAATTTAATTAACGTAACTTTCAAAAAATTCCGAAAATTAAAGAATTTAGTTAAATTTTATGCCTGTTTTTTAGTCATAATACTCTATCAAAGTTCCTTTGTATTATAGAATGAATAATATCACAATAGTGAGTCATTTATCTTAATATCGCTAAAGTCAGAGTCTTCGAAGTTATACTGTTCATGTCGTATTGTCTATCATTTTACTCGTGCAGCCTATGGGCCCGTTTTACCCAGAACGGTTTTAATGCCATCATTCGAAAACGGATCTTCTGGATGATGATGGCATCCTTGATGAATCCTGTTAGGCATAGAAGCTGCGAGCGACATTCAAATTACAATGCTTAGTAAACCTTATATTTTACATATGAGACTTAACACTGAATGGTGTTATACATGCATTTTATACGCCCTGTGGTAATCTACACAACTTACAAGTTTAATGATTTAAAACTCATTCTCACTCTCTGGAAAATCAGAAGCTACTTAGAAACTTATAATTCATACAATTCAATTCATGCTACACAGTTTCTTGTTAGTTTTTCTCGTCCATTCTATGCTTCTGTTTTGAAAGATTAGATAGTAAATGAAGAGTAGGCTAGAGTCATGAATTCCATTTCAGTCATTTAATTTTATTTTGATTTTCATGAGCTATTTAAAAAAAATATTTAATTATTGCAAGTCAGACAATCAGTTGACTAGTGTTTGTAAAGTTGCGAAATCATCAAATTTGAGACCATCTGCGTGACTAAAGTTAACATGGCGAATACAATGAGTTATCAAAGTAGTAATTGTTCGCATTACTAAGTATAGAAGGGAGCTTTTTAATGTATGAGGTATATTTTATTTTTGCTCTAAAACTCCACAGATGTTAAAATGAGGACAATCAGATAAAAATATAATAATAGATAGTATATATTCCTTTATATATACACGTGTACAGTGGCGTAACTATACCATCTGGGGCCCGTGGCAAATTCTTTTGATGGGGTTAGTTTAATTTGAATAAGCTTCGAGATTTTCAGCATACTAAATTACACGTTGTATATGTCCCACTAATGGCCATAGGCCTCCTCTCTTAGGCGAGAGGGAGATGGTCTGTAGTCCCCACGCTAGCCCAATACGTATTGGAGACTTCACATTCATCCATAGAACATAATATCTATTGGGCAGGGGCCCTCTTGGGTCGGGGGCCCGTGGCATTTTGCCAATAGGGTGGCAGCTATTATTACGCCACTGCACGTGTATATATAAATGATATATATACACGTGTCAAAATAACAACTCTAACCAGATCGATGCAACTTCCTCACAATCGAGTAGCCCACTATATCGCAGTACACATATCCCGAGGGGACTATTTGTGTCGGAGAAGTCGTATGGGTCTGGGTCAGCATCCGGGAATACATAATGTAAATTATATGTTGGTCTAGAGGATACCTCTGCAACCCTAAATCCTGAGATCTAAAGTTCGAATCACGGTTCGTCACTAATAAGTTAAAAATATAACACATAAAGAAGTCTGAGACCTAAGTCAATCATTGTAGTACTACTATTTTTTCCAACTTCAATAGCTATATCACGACACCTATAATATTAATAAACATAATCTTCTCATCTAGTCACTGCTAACTTTATATTATTTTTTGCTTTCACTCAACTGGGGCAGTTAAACGTGGTAAGTCTTTACGCTTTATACTCGCTTAGTTTAACTTTATAATTTTACTCTTTCAGAATACTTCATATATTATTCTTAGGCATTTTTACACTTTTATTCCTAACAAATGCATGTTAGCCGTGCGATTTTCAGGATTTGTGAATTTTCATTGCAATGAACTCTCACTCTTGCGATAAAAGAATGCATGTCTTATACCCTACAGTCACTTAAAATTAATCCTAATATGAAACGTATTTAGACTGAAAATGCTTTGAAACTACTAAACTAACCTTAAATAAATGATTATTATTGTATATCTAGCGTTGCTTAGTTGTCCGCTAGCAGTGTTGACTTAGTGGCTTCAGCGATTCTCATCCCTGAGGTCGTAGGTTCGATCCCAATTGTGCACAAATAAAATTTCCGAATATGTGCGCATTTAACCCGTATGATGAAAGGAAAACATCGTGAGGAAACCGGCTTGCCTTAGAACCAAAAAACCGACGTCGTGCATCAGGCACAGGAGGCTGATCACCTACTTGCCTATTAGATTAACAAATGATCATGAAACAGATACAGAAATCTAAGGCCTAAAAAGGTTGTAGCACCACTAATTCTTAAAACGTAACACCGTAAAACATTACTATTAAAATAAATCTTATGATGGATATAAACGCGAACCAATTACATAGTTTAATTCGGCGTTTCTAGTGGTCAGCGTGACTGTAACTGAAACGAATTAAATAAATTCGCTTTTAAATCAGTTAAAGATGTTAAAGATTATTATTACTTTATTTATATAAAACATTCATCTGAGGATGCCAGTTTAAAGTTATAGGAAATTAGTTCGTCATAATTAAACTGTCATTCGAAGCCCCTAATTAGAACAGGATATATCCGGTCCGGATTTAACCCGGATTAAAGATAAGATGAGGGATGCGACAAACATAACCATAATTTAATAATTTTTGGTTTAAAACCTAATTTTTGTCTAATGAAAGTAAAATTGTGATCCTAGATTATTTTCTTCTTGTTCCTCATCTAAGACATTTACACTTTATGTTTTAAGTGAAATATTAAATATAACATAAAAATAACATAACATTTATTACTAAAGAAACACACAAATTAATAATTATAATAATCATAAATATAGTTTAAAAAAACTAAAAAACTCGCTTTTAAAGCACTATATTTATTTTACACTTTTTAGTCCTAGCAGCAATACGTGTTGTCTCAATTTAATCGTATTGCTTTGTGGACTTATTGGAAAAATTGTGGAAAAATTTCCTTGTTTTTTTGGAGATAAACCTATGAAATTAGTATATTGTCGCTGATTCTTTATAAGTGTACAAAGTTTGAATTAAATCTGTCCGTTTAATGTGGGTCAAAATCGAGTCCGAACGGTTACATACAGACATACATACATACAGGTGAAGCTAATATAAAAAAAAAAAATATTTAAAAAGAAAAAATTTTTAAATTTTTAAAAAAAAAAAAATTTTTAAAAAAATAAAAAAATTTTTTTTTTTTTTTTGAGGAGGGAAAAAAAAAAAAAAAAAAAAAAAAAAAAAAAAAAAATTATAATTTTTAAAAAAAATTTTTTAAATTTTTTTAAAAAAAAAAAAAATAAAAAAAAAT